AAAAAAAGGCAACTTGTCCCAAAACACATGTTTATCAAGTCTTATACATCACATTATGTTCAATAATAATAAAAAGAGTCATATAGAACATTACAATCTTCAAGTAGCAACCAAAAGTCCAAAATATATAAAAGAAATATTGTAGACTAGTCATTTGACATCTTCAACCTTCATTCCTTTTCCTCTTAGTATAGTTCATGCCAAAAAAAGTTAAAACACATGAATTAAATAGTTCAATAAATGGAGAACACAATGCAATAAATAATTAATTAAATGCATAAGGTATATATTATATCTTACCTTATTATAATTACTCAAATATCGAACTCCGACAATATTACTATCCACACCAACATTCGTCGCCAACAAATCTACAAATAAGATAAGACAAGAAAATATCAATAATGACAATAAACGTAATAGATTATATCATAATCCAACCACCAAGAACAATATCACCCTAATTCCTAGCCCCTCAGCCCCACGCCCCCAGCCCCATCAGCCCCCTGCCCACAGCCCAGGCCTAGCCCCATCAGCCCCCTGCCCACAGCCCAGCCCCACCAGCCCCAATGCTCCCAGGAACAAAAACAACTTCAACAATAATTAAACAATTGCTAGAATATTAAAAATAAATTAAGTTGCACAAAATCACAAAATGAAAATTTAATTTTTTATCACCTTGTTCGATCCTCTCAATAAATTCCAAATTTTCCTCTAAGGGAGATCTTTAACTCGAACCATAAGGACTACGACGAAGCCAATCTTGAGTGCAAATTAATGTTTGAGCCATCTTAGGGGCATTGCCAAACATCACAAGACAATTTGGATAAAATGAGAAACCGACGACTATTGAATTTCCACCACTCCAATACATCAAAACCTTTCGAAGCCTTTTCCAAGCATTCATTTAGATATGTATCTTGCTCCGATTCCTCAAGCCCAATCCCAGATATCAACTATTGGATTCACGTCTTTTTATCCATTACACTAGACGAAACATTTCCGACATTCGTGAAGGTAGTGAAGTAGGAGTTGATGACACCAAGCCACAATTTTTTTATACTCATCAAAAATTTCATAAAGAGCACTCTTAGCTAAATTCGTTATCTCTTCTCCACGAGCCGGACCATACTTACTTTTTAAATAGTAATGTAGGACGCCAAACTTGTGACGGGATAAAGCATAAACCCAACATAGAAAATCATATTAAATTTCTCTACATCAACCCAATATTTGTCAAACTTCTCTTTCATATTATGGATACGTAGGCACCTTAATTGACTATATCATTCGTGCTCGGATATTTATTAAATGTCAATTACGTTCAAGTCCATATTTAAATATAATTACTTAGGAAACCTTTCATCCACCTTCGAATACCTTACATAAGTTAATTTCTCAGTATGCTGGGGTTCATCAGCTTCACAATGCAATCCGACTCCAAAACACAATCCCGAATAATATCGCCATTATTTTTTTGTAGTGTCATAAAAAACACGTTATTTAATGGAAGGTGTCCTTGTTATCATCTTTGCTGCACAAGATGTTTATACTACACTACACAATTGTTGTTTGATGATGATATAAATATATTGTACGACAAAGATGATAACATGGACAAGTTCTATTCAGTAACGTGCTGTAGGACACTAGCAAAAAAAAAAA